CGTGAGCAGCTCCCTTTAGTGAGAGGTTGTACAACCAGTGAGTAAACTCACGAAATTAGAGTATGTCTGCTGCGGTATATACCACAGCTCGCTAATCCAGGATTAGCTGATTCTTATGCAAAAATGCGCCGCACCTGTGGTGTGCCGGAGCCTTTCCCTATGCAAAATTGCGTCAGCGACTAATCCAGAAATTCGCTGGTATATAACCCACCAAAACTCCGCAAGCACGGCTACACTCTCAGCAACCCTGTGCCAACACTGCACAAGCTCGCGGAATCCGTCCGCGAGCACGGCTACACTCTCAATAACTCTGTGCCAACACTGCACAAGCTCGCGGAATCCGTCCGCGAGCACAGCTACACTCTCAGCAACCCTGTGCCAACACTGCACAAGCTCGCGGAATCCGTCCGCGAGCACGGCTACACTCTCAGCAACTCTGTGCCAACACTGCGCAAGCTCGCAGATGGATTTCGCGAGCATGGCTACACTCTCAATAACTCTGTGCCAACACTGCACAAGCTCGCGGAATCCGTCCGCGAGCACAGCTACACTCTCAGCAACTCTGTGCCAACACTGCACAAGCTCGCAGACGGATTCCGCGAGCAGCGGGAGGCTGTGGGCAAGCGGTCCGGCTACAGGGCAGAGTCTGCAACCACAGCGGACCACCTCGCGGACTGATTCCGAGAGGGTGGGTCGGCACATCTACATATCAATTCGTACCAACACTACAGTGTATTCGCTGGGGTGGAGTCGCCAGGTAAGGAAGTCTCCAAGCGCTGGGCGATATGATTGGCGGGGCGCTCTAGGGCTGTGGCGGTTACCACAGCGAATGGGACCGTTCAGAGTCCCCAACACCAGGAAGACTCTTGCGGATTCTCGCGGCCTATGTCTGGCGGCGGAGTTCCCCACGAGTCACTTATACTACGATAACGGAGTCACTCAGATGCCCGGACTCCGCGAAATGCGGAGGCTGGTGACCGTCGTGGCCCGTCCATACACTGCCTGTTTGTCGGGGTCCCTCACCGGGCAGTAGCTGATAATGACAGCGGGCCCTGCTAGTCATTGCAGATCTATCAAGCAGCACAGGACAGATGCGATTAATCGGAAATTTCCCGGGGTGGTATCGTTGACAACTGGGTTGGATCTGGCGTAAAAACAAGTGTATTCTTGCCCCATGCCCCAAAATGACATGCAGGATTTCCTCAGCTCTCTTCTCGCTCAGACAGCCGATACCACTTCGCGCAAAAGGACAGCAGTTCGGTCTTTTGCTTAGTCAGAGTCTATGTAATATTAGATAATCAAATGAGGCCCAACACCTCAGCTACATCACCACATCATTGATAATTACAGTGTGTTGCAAGACGATACAGAATTTCAAAACTCAGGCTATATGAGCTAAAATGGTAGGCGCAGCCGTCTAAAACCCGGTTAATGCCAAGGGTCGCATTACGCGACCTTTCGCGACTCCATTTCGGAGGATTGTGGCATCACGTGTCTATATTGTTGGCTCAAACAGTGGTGTCTTGGTGGTGTTGCATGTGGCGACTACCATTTCTATTCATATATCACAAGTCTCAATATTCCGCATTGTTTTGCAACACGCTGTAACTGAACTCATGGAGACAATGTTACTTTTGTATTTAAGATAAATACAGTTATAGGAAGATGACATGACACAGCCAATTCCATTCATCATTTTTGTCCACTTCCTGTGCCTTTTTGGCTTATGCAACTCAATGGTCTTATTAACACATACAAGTAGTATCTTTGTAGATATTCTCACGGAGTCAGGAGACGCGCCACTGTAGATCCCATGTGGGATTTGCATTGCATGAAGTCTTGATGGTATTTCAAGTGAAGCTCTTTCAGTACCTATTGCTTCTCCATAGTACTTGAAAATGCCACACTATAATCACTCTTGTATTTGACAGATTTTGTTCCGCACCAATGGAGATGAATTGCAGTTGCGAGAGCTCCTCCGTCACTGCGTCATCAGACTGTACTATACTGTACCTGGGCATGCACTGAGTGCATGAAGTCTGATGATGCACTGAACATACCAGTAACAACAGATGGTCGGTGGTGTGGACATCCTCGCAAGAAATATTGAAGTTGTTACATGGTTGAGGTAACTACAGCTGTATAAAGGACAGGTGGACATAAGACTGGACTTCTTCCCGGGCTCATGTGATACATGCTTGACAGCAGAGCTTTGCAGCAATCGGCAAAACAATAGAGAAGTTTGTGATTTTCTGCACTCAGTAGCCGCCCCGTGGCTTACCTAATATCGCCTCCAAGGCATAGCCGTGCTTTACTTAGTGTTGCTGAAACTACCAAGAATGATCTGTTTGGCAATATCAAAGACCTATGTTGTTTGAACATC